TGGTGCAATCTCAGCTCAGTACAACCTCTGCTTCCCAGGTTCAAGTGATTCTCCTACCTCAGCCTCTGAAGTAGCTGGGATTATAGATGCCTGTCACCACACCCAGCTAATTTTTGTTTTTGTTTTTGTTTTTTTAAGAGATGGAGTTTCACTCTTGTTACCCAGGCTGGAGTGCAATGGCACGATCTTGGCTCACTGCAACCTCCACCTCCTGGGTTCAGGCAATTCTCCTGCCTCAGCCTCCTGAGTAGCTGGGATTATAGGCACACGCCACCATGCCCCACTAATTTTTTGTATTTTTAATAGAGACGGGGTTTTACCATGTTGACGAGGATGGTCTCGATCTCTTGACCTCGTGACCCACCCGCCTCGGCCTCCCAAAGTGCTGGGATTACAGGCTTGAGCCACCACGCCCGGCCCTAATTTTTGTATTTTTAATAGAGACAGGGTTTCACCATGTTGGCCAGGCTGGTCTCAAACTCCCGACTTCAAGTGATCGCCTGCCTCGACCTCCCAAAGTGCTAGGATTACAGGTATGAGCCGCCATGCTCATCCAAGAATATCTTATAGGAGTGTTGGTTGTAAATGATGACAAATAACCCCGCTGAAGTATTCCTGAAAAGGGGACTGAATAAAGAAATCATGGTGTGTCCACATCACAGAACACAATAAAGATATCAAAAGAAAGATGCAAACTACAGCCCAGGAGCTAAGAATAGCTTTTACATTTTTAAATCGTTGAAGAAAAAAAATTGTAAGAAGAATACTATTTTGTGACTTGCGAAAATTACATGAAATTCAAATTTCAGAGTCCTTAAATAAAGTTTTATTGGAACACTCCCGTGCTCATTCATTTACATACAGTCTGTGGCTGCTTTTGCACTATAATGATAGAGACCATATGGCCCACAAAAGCCTGAAACGTTTACTCTTGCCTCTTTATAGAAAGTTGCCTGGAAAAATAAACAAGTGAATAAAAATCAAATAAGCAAAAGCAAAGTTTGCCAGGCTTCGTTCCCTGCAGTGCTCTTTCAAAATGCTCAACTCTGTTCTCAAACACTCTAATAATATACATCTATCAATTTACAGATATTAGTTTATTTAACTCTCACAGCTCTACAAAGTAGCCGCTGTTCCTATCATTCTCATTCTGCAGGCAAAGACACGATAGCCTAACAGAGACGCAAGCTGCTCACACAGCCTGCAAGTGGCCAAGTCCTAATTGCCACATCACAACCATTCCCAGACAGTGTTTACAAAAAAAAAAAGAAAAAGAAAAAAGAAAAAAATCCCTGCACGCAGTACCCACTAGTAATGGCTCCAGTCACCTTAGGGGGTTGTGACCAGTGGAGTCTGAGCGAGGTGACTCACGCCTGTAATCTCAGCACTCTGGGAGGCCAAGGTGATCACCTGAGGTCAGGAGTTCGAGACCACTCTGGGCAACATGGTGAAACCCTGTCTCTACTAAAGGTACAAAAATAAGCTTGGTGTGGTGGCGTGTGCCTGTAATCCCAGCTACTTGAGAAGCTGAGGCAGGAGAATCACTTGGACCTGGGAGGTGGAGTTTACAGTAAGTTGAGATTGTGCCACTGCACTCCAGCCTGGGTGACAGAGGGAGGGAGACTCCATCCCCCCCACCCAAAAAAACACCAGTGGAAACAGAGTAGAAAATATTGATGTGTATCACACATTGTAATGATAGGTGTTAGTTCATGACACTTGTATTTCAGCAATATGTGTATATATATACAAATACATATATGTATGCAGGTCCTGCGTGTCGACATACAATGGAGTTCTCATGCTAGGCACAGTGGCTCACCCCTGTAATCCCAGAATTTGGGAGGCTGAGACGGGTAGATCACCTGAAGTCAGGAATTCAAGACCGGCCTGGCCAAAAAAAAGCTCGTCTCTACTAAAAACACAAAAATTAGCTGCATGTGGTGGTGCACGCCTATAGTTCCAGCTACTCAGAAGGCTGAAGCAGGAGAATCACTTGAACCTGAGAGGTGGAGGCTGCAGTGAGCCGAGATCACGCCATTGCACTCCAGCCTGGGTGACAGTTTTAAAAAAATAAAAAAAAAAAAGAAAGAAATTCTTTTTACCTCAGCCTCCCAAGTAGCTGGGATTACAGGCACGAGCCACCATGCCCAGCTAATTTTTGTATTTTTTAGTAGAGATAGGGTTTTACCATTAGCCAGTCTGGTCTTGAACTGCTGACCTCGTGATCCTCCCGCCTTGGCCTCCCAAAGTGCTGGGATTACAGGCTTGAGCCACCGCGCCCAGCCAAAATAAAGAATTCTTATCCCAGGTGGTGTGTCCAGCGAAAAACAGGTCTGAGAGCCAGTGCTCCAAGATATGCTGCTACGTAAGCAAAGCCAGACGCAGGCCGTTGTCTTCGTGCTTCTGTTTGTGTTAACACGGAGGGAAAATGTAAACGTGTGAGCATGCACACACACACACAAATGTGCACACACATGCTGTCAAATCCACCTGGGCCCAGAGAGCACAGAGTTCCGAGTGCAGGGGGTGGAGTTCGGACAGTAAGGGAACCGCTGTTCTTACTAACGACAACAGTCCCCCAGATTGAGAACTGCTATTCCACGCATTCCTGCATGTGCACAGGATAGCAGTTCCCAATCTGGATGATCCTGTCCTCGCCAGGACACACTCGGCTGATCACCCAGTCACATACCCACCCAAGCCATCCATCTGTCCGTCCGTTCAGCCATCCATCTGTCCGTCCGTTCAGCCATCCATCTGTCCGTCCGCTTGCCTAACCGGCAAACATTCACCGACCACCTTCTGTCACGCGGGGCACTGCTGCAGGTACAGCTACTGTGGAGGGCCCTACCTTGTGCCTCCCTGCTTGTGTGTGTGTCCCCAAAGAATCGGCTCACCTTCCTTCTCAAAGGTCATCCACATAGTTAGGCACAGTGGCTCACCCCTGTAATCCCAGCCCTGTGAGAGGCCAAGTTGGGAGGATTACTGAGCCCTGGAGTTTGAGATCAGCCTGGACAACATAGTGAGACCCCATCTCTCCCTCTCAAAAAAAAAAAAATTAGCTGGGCGTTGTGGCACGCACCTGTAGTCCCACCTACTTCAGGGGCTGAGGTGGGAAGATAATTTGAGCATGGGAGGCTGCAGGAGCAGAGACTGAACCGCACTCTGGCCTGGGCCACAGAGCCAGACCCTGTCTCCAAGAAAGGAAGCTGAGCTATAGCATCACTGCTGCAACTGCACACTCTTCACCGACGCCAGCTCCGTGCAGCGCCGTTGTGTGAGGTCACTGGTCTTATTCCCATTTTACATGCATAAACCATGCCTCAGAGAGTTCCGCCAAGCATAGCTGGATCCACACCCAGGTCTGGCTTTCTCAAGCTCTGAGTTTTAAGCCAGGCCCTAGCATTTGCCAGCTGGATAACCTTGGCAATCAAATTAATCTCCCTGTGCCTCTATTTCCTCACCTGCAAAATGAGATGATACCACCGACCTGGTGGGGAGTGTGAGGTTTAGAGGAGAGTGCTAGGCTGCCTGTGGTGGCTCACGCCCAGAATCCCAGCACTCTGGGAGGCCGAGGCAGGCAGATCATGAAGTGAGGAGATAAGAGACCATTCTGACTAACACGGTGAAGCCCCGTCTCTACTGAAAATACAAAAAGTTAGCTAGGCACGTGGCGTGAGTGCCTGTAATCCCAGCTACTCGGGAGGCTGAGGCAGGAGAATCTTGAACCCGGGAGGTGGAGGTTGCAGTGAGCTGAGATCGCACCACTGTACTCCAGCCTGGCAGAAGAGCAAGACTCCATCTCAAAACAAACAAACAAACCCGATACAATCATTCATCCACCTAGACTAGCCAAGTTCAACGGTGAGCCAGTGGTGAAGGAGGCACAATCACAGATTGCTGATAAAGATTTTAAACCCATTTATACTCCACAGGGGCGGGGGTAACTGCCGTATCTGTCAGAGATAAAAATGCTACACCTTTAGAGCCAGCAAATTCCTTTTGAAGAACTTATCCCACAAAACAACATACATACAGACTTTCTCTGTAGCCTGGTTCCTAATAGCTACGGATCAGAAGTGACCTAAAAGCCCAACAACAATTTAGATTGGCTAAATAAATACAGCACACGCCCACAGTGAAATACTACACAGTCACATAAGAGCATGAAGAATGGGGCCAGATACCGCGGCTCAAGCCTGTAATCCTAGCACTTTGGGAGGCCAAGGCAGGTGGATCACTTGAGGTCAGGAGTTCGAGACCAGACTGGGCAACATGGTGAAACCCCCTTTCTACTAAAAATACAAAAATTAGCCTGGCATAGTGGCAGGCACCTGTAGTCCCAGCTACTTGGGAGGCTAAGGCAGGAGAAAACTTGAACCTGGGAGGTGGAGGCTACAGTGAGCTGAGATCATGCCACTGCACTCCAGCCTGGGCAATGGAGTGAAACTCCGTCTCAAAAAAAAAAAAAAAAAGAGAGAATGAAGAATGGTCTCCAAGATCAATTTTTTTAAATAATAAAAGATACAATACTGCAGGCAGAGGATGGTACACCCTTTTTGTAAAAACTGAACGCAATAATCCATATTTGATTCCCTTATCGCATTTGTCCAGAACAAATTCGAGAGACCACCGTGGAAGGACAGGGACCTCCGGTTCAGGAGAGGCGGGCTTTCCCCTGTGCACCTTTCTGTACCTTCTGAAATGTGAATTATCTGAATGTATCACATATTCAGAAGTGACAACTAGAATTTCAAGAAATAACAGTGTGTCTTGTATTCCTGCAGAGTATGGGCTCCCCCAGGGCCGGCCCTGGTCTCAGGCAACCATGACTGCTGGGAAACACTGGGGAAATACTTGGGGGGTGAAGGAGAGCTCTGTGTTCCACATCAGCAGGACAGAGACGCAGGCAGGGCGGAGAGCGAGGAGCGGGAGAGCGGGCAGGAGGGGCGAGGCTGGGTCTGTGCTGCGGACATAGGCTGCTGGGGTCCCTCTACCTGGGGGGCCGGAGCCGGGGAAGCCTGGCCGTCGGGAGCCTGATGGCCGAGGCCAGCTCCTTTGGCGACCGGGGTGGCCGGGGCTGGGTCTTGGGCGGGAGGCGGGGCGCTGACTATGACCGAGGCAGGCACGGAGAGGTGGGGGCCCTCTGCGGAGAGGGGCTGCTGGCTCCTCTCCTGCAACGGGCAGCCCACACAGGGTCAGAAAGCTGCCCCTATGGGCCCTCGACCTCCCCACCTGAGACCCCTGCCCCTGCTGATGTTCCCAGGGCTCCAGAGGACGGGGTGGTAGGCAGCCAGGTGGGCGAGTAAGTGCCAGGCACAGAGGCCACGGAGGCCGGAACCCAGGCCGCCCGCTCCATTCTGAGCTCCCGTCAGCCCCTCTGCCAGCTCCACCTTGCCCTGCCTCTCTCCTGCCCCACCTGCCTGTCTGTCCATCCCCAACTTGTCCACTTCCTCTCTGAGATCCCTTTCCTTCCTTGCCTGTCAGCAGGCCAGCCAGGGCCTGCCCTTCTCTGTCAGTCAGTCCCCAGTCCCTCCCCCTATCTGTCAGTCTGCTGTCCCTCTCTGTCTGTCTGTCCAACGGTCCCTCCAGCTGACTAATGAGTTGTCCTGCCCCTCGTCTGTCAGTCAGCCAGCCTGCCTGCCAATCCATCTTCCTGCCAGTTCGGCCAAGGCCCTCGGCCATCTGGCCTCCTCTTAGCGGCCACCTGTGCCATGACTGAGACCCTCCCCCTTGGCTGCCACAGTGCCATCCACTTTTGAATCTTGGCCCCTCTCCCCAGGGCCCTTCCTCCTCCCAAACCCACTGCCTCCTCTGGCACTTGCTCCCCTGCCCCATCCTGCTTACCTGGGGCAGGAACATCTGCAGGGAGTCCTGAGTGAGGATGGCCGTGGGGGCGGCAGAGGGCGGCTGCCCCAGGACGATCTTCTCTGGGCTAGATGCCAGGCCGGGGCTGGGCTGGGGGGTTGTGGCCTGAGGCGGGGCGGCGGCCTGTGGGGTGGGGGCCTGCGGAGGCTGCTGCGCCTGCGGCTGCTGGAGACCCAGGGGCAGGGGTGTGCTGACCGCGGGGGGCGCCTGGGGGGCAGGCTGCACCGTGAGGACCGGCGCGGCCTCCCCGGTGGCGGCGGCAGGGGTAGTCGGCTGCACCAGGCCGTCAGGGGTGTTGAGCATGGCCACGGCGCTGGGAGGCAGGGTGACCCCCTGGAGGACTGTGGTGGCAGCTGGCCCAGTGGGTGCTGGCTGGCTCTGTGTCGGCAGGCTGCCCGCGGCCAGCGACACGGGCATCTGGAAGAGCGCAGGCTGGCCCACCTGGATGGGGGCGGCGGAGAGGATGTGTGCGCTGTGAGCCCCGGAGTGGGGGGCCAACACGGGGCCCAGGCTCAGCGGGCCTGCCAGGTTCTGGTTGGTGAGGATGGGGTTTGCGATGAGCTGTCCTCCCGTGTGGGGGGCAGCGGCTGCCAGGATCTGCCCGCCCACGTTGGCCGGCAGGGCTGAGAGAGACTGCGGTAGCTGGACCGCGGGTGCGCCGGGCAGCAGGAACTGGTTCTGGCCCGGCAGCATGTGCTGGGCGGGGATGACGATGCTGCTGCCTTGGTTCAGGAGGTGAACGCTCATGGGCTTGCTCAGGGCCCCGGGGGGCTGCGGCGGGGCAGCACCAGTGGTGGTGGCCGGCGGCTGCTTGAAGACGTTCGCCTGCAGTGCGGGCGCGGGGAAGCCCGACAGCACCACGTTCTGGCCTGCCTTCCCCGCCGCCATGAACGTCAGGTTCTGAGGAGCCTTGGGCTGCTGCGGGAGCGCCCCCGGCTCGCCCTGGATGGTGAGCGTGGCGCCCGCGGGCGTGAACGGCTTGGGTGTCAGCTGGTAGAGCTTGGGGGGTAGCACCCCCGCGGGCTTGGGCTGGATGGGCGTGGGCGTGCGATGCAGGATCACGTTGGGCGCTGGGACCAGTGGTGAGGAACCCAGGCCGGGGGCCACCGCCAGCGGCTGTCCCGTGGGTGCCCCACTGGACACTGAGGCGGCCCCCGCGCCTCCGAACACAGAGTTCCCATTAAGCGTGGTGGCCACGGCAGCAGGGAGGTTCTTCTGGATGACCAGGCCAGCCCCCTGCGGTGAAACGCCGGCTGACGCCAGGGTCACGGGCTCTGAGGGGCCGGCCGCCGAGGCCAGGTAGCCGCTGACGGGCACCTGCTTGGCCAGGAGCTGGGAGGTGGGCGTGTTGAGCGCCATGACAGGCTGGCCCACCACCTGGATGGGCGCCAGGCCCAGCGTGGCTGCCGTGGCACCCCCAGGGCTGCCATTAGGCAGGCCCTGGAGGCCCGGGATGGGCTGTAGGGTCACGTTGCCCAGGCCCACAGGCTGCAGGAAGGGCTGGACGCTCAGGGCCTTGTTGACCACGTCCTGGGGCGGCACCAGGGCCTGGTGGGTCAGCACAGTAGGGGGGGCCTGCAGCCCCAGGAGGTCAGTGCTGCCCGGGAAGAGGGCCTGGGGCCCCGCAGCCACAGCCGCTGCCCCTCCAGCGCCTGTCGGGCCTGCCCCGCCATCTGCAGGCTGCAGGGTGGGCAGCTGGAAGGGACCCAGGTCCAGCTCAGCCTCAGCCTCCAGCGTCTGCTCCGTGATGTTGGCTTCTTGGAGGCTCTGCTGGAGGATGTCACAGGGCTGGTCAGCGCCCCCACCGCCCCCGCCGCCGCCCCCTGTCGCAGGAGAGCCCAGGATGTCATCTTCCAGGAAGTCTAGGTCCACACTGGGGGCTGGCTGGTTGGGCTCTGGGTTCAGGTGGTTGCCAGAAGCTTCTTGCACGTGGAGCTGGAGGCCACGAAAGGTGGGAAGGAAAGAGCTGAGGTTAGCAAGGGGCTAGGCTCAGGCCACCGCTGCGGCAAAGAATGCTCAGGTGACAGGGCAGCCATGGTCAAGAAAGAACATTCCTGCCTGGCAGGGTGGCTAGCGCTTGTAATCTCAGCACTTTGGAAAACTGAGATAGGAAGATGGCTTGAGCCCAGACGTTTGAGACCAGCCTGGGCAACACAGTGAATCCCTGTCCCCATAAAAAAATTTAAAACAAAAAGAAAAATTAGGCAGGCGTGGTAGCATGTGCCTGCGGTCCTTGCTACTTGGGAAGCTGAGGTGGGAGGATCACTCGAGCCCAGGATTTTGAGGTTGCATAGTGGAGCTAGGAGCGCACCGTGATCCTCCAGCCTGGGCGACAGGGCTAGCCCCTGTCTACAAAAAAAAAAATAAAGAAAGAAAAAAAGAAAAAAGAACATTCCATCTTCAAGTGGCTGGACCCGGGATCAAATCCCAGCTCTGCTAAGGCCTAGCTGTGTAACCTAGGGCTTGATCTGACCTCAGTTTCTCCATCTGTACTCATCAGTAAAATGTCATTTAAAAAACTATTGTTGGCCAGGTACAGTGACTCACGCCTGTAATCTTAGCACTTCGGGAGCCTGAGGTGAGAGGATTGCTTAAGCCCAGGAGTTCGAGGCTAAGTGAGCTATGATTATGCCACTGCACTCCAGCCTAAGTGACAAGAGTAAAGATTCTGTCTCAAAAACCAAAAAGAAAGTCCAGGCACGGTGACTGAGGCAGGACTTTGGGAGGCTGAGGCAGGCAGATCACTTGAGGCCAGGAGTTTGAGACCAGCCTGGCCAACATGATGAAACCCTGCCTCTACTAAAAATACAAAAACTAGCTGGGCATGGTGGCTCACACCTGCAGCCCCAGCTACTTGGGAGGCTGAGGCAGGAGAATGGCTTGAACCCGGGAGGTGGACGCTGTAATGAGCTGAGATCCTGCCCCTGCACTCCAGCCTGGGCGACAGAGCGAGACTCCATCTCAAAAAAACAAAACAGAAATAAATAAAAACGAGCAACTACTGTTTAAATGGTCATACGGGCCTACAACACTTATCCGTAATTACAAAACCTGAAAAGGTCTAAGAGCTGGGACTGTTTTCATAGCTCTTTTGGCAGCAAAACCTGACTAGAACCGACATGGCACTTTGGGTGGGATCCATCTACCCACACGATGTGGCTTCGTAGGTCTGGCCACCAAGAGGCAAGCCTGTGACATTACACACACAACACACACCTGGTACTGCTTTTCCAGAATTTGAGAAATTCGAAATTCTGAAACACGCCTGGCCCTAAAGGTTTCCGACAAGTGGTCGCAGTTCTGGTGGCATCAAGCTCACGTCAGCAGTGAGGGCTCCCATTTGTGAGCCTTCATGCCAACCGCACTGTGAGCTCAATGCTTTTTAAGTGCTTTTCACACTCTCCTGAACTGCAACCCAGCACACGCATGGAAAAATGACCGCTTGCACATGTGTAGAAAGCCCCACAAACAATACTTATGATACAGCAGTTTGTTTGTTTTGTGACGGAGTCGCGCTCTGTCATCCAGGCTGGAGTGCTGTGGCGCAATCTCCGCTCACCGCAATCTCTGCCTCCCGGGTTCAAGCGATTCTCCTGTCTCAGCCTCCCGAGAATCTGGGACTACCGGCACGTGCCACCACGCCTGGCTAATTTTTTGTATTTTTAGTAGAGATGGGGTTTCACCATGTTGGCCAGGAGGATCTCGATCTCCTGACCTCGTGATCTGCCCACCTCGGCCTCCCAAAGTGCTGGGATTACAGGCGTTAGCCACCGCGCCTGGCGATACGGTGCCATCCACCAGTTCATCTCCACCAGTGCCTGCCCAGATAACCCATCAAAACCCGCAGCTTCCAAGAGTCTCAGTAAATCCACAGAGGCCTCACAGTAGCACCTGCCACGAGAAGCATCATCTATCATCAGCACTGTCATTACTACTGTCCATGCTGTCGTTTTTGGTGAGTCCCATGAGGCAGGTGCTGGTCCCTTCCTCATGCCACAGGTGAGAGTACTGCCTGGGTCAACCAGCGGTGGGTGGAGGGAGCAGCAGGCAGACGGGGCTCTGGCTCGGCCTCCGACAGACTGAGGACCAGGCAGGCCACTGTGACCCCCTCATCTCTTATGTGCCACAGCGAACCTGCGCCCTGGGATGTGCCTATGAAAATTCACTGACGTCACCTTCAGAGAGTGTTCAGAACCTGACCACGGACCTCAGGGTATGTGAAAATGATGGTAACGGTAACAAGTGTGATCACAACAACAGGATCACTGCTGTTACTGGGCCTGCAAATGCATCAAGGTTATACAAATTATTACGTTTCCTCGCCATTTATATTACGAAAGGTAAGCTATCTGGAAGATGATACAGTGTGAGAACTACATGAAGACGACCGTCAGTGTTTGGTGAGTGTGATGATGATGAAGAGGGAAGGTGGGGAGGGTGAGGGGGAAGGAGGAAGGCGAGGCAGGGAGAGGGGAGGCCTAAGGAAAAGGAGGAGGAGGAAAAGGTAAGCGGGGGAAGGCAGCAGCAGAAGAGGGAGAAAAGGGAAGGGGTAGCCACCGTGGTGTGGACAGCTGGCACTTTGTCATGGGACCAGCACAGTCAGGCACACAGTAGGTGCTCAATAAATGTCCTCTGCCTTGCCCACTCTGGGCTTTGCTCAGCACCTGTCTTGACTGTCCAGGTGAAGACTAAGTCTGTAGGTGACAAGGCCCCTCCCCTAGGTCACACCCTGCCACGGCCGAGGTGGGCAGGACCCCGCGCTCCTCCAGCCCCCTGCTCTCTAGAGCAGTGCACATCTGCTTCATCTCCCCAAAACCGCTCTGCACCAGCTGCTCCAGGGCTCCAAGGCCTCGGGGACCCCCACCTCTTCCCCGAGGGGCCTGCAAGGCGCGGTTGGCCTTGCCCACGTTGGCCACCTCCAGGGTCCCTCAGCTCTGCTCCGTTCTGCACTGCCAGAGTGGTCCAGCCACCCTCGGTGGCCCACCCCTTGCCCTCCTCCCATCAACAGCCCTCAGGAGATGAGCCCAAGCCTCCCTTCTTGCTCCAGGGATCCCTCCTACTGGCAGCCCGGAGAGCTCAGGGGATGACTGGGAGCCATGACACTTACCCCAGGACCTTCATAGAAGGCACTTTGGGCTTCGCCAGGATTATCCAGGAGGTCATCACTGTCGAGCTGCAAGAAGACCCACCCCGTCCAAGGTCAAAGGTCAGCAGGGCAGGCCCATGCTCTGGGGCAAAAATCAATTTAGGGTCACTCGAGACAAAAAGACGAGGGGTGGGATGGGAGAGGGCTGGGGGTATGGGAAACTGTCTGCCTGCTCCTCCCACCGGAAAGAGACCCCAAAGCCAGGGGCTCAGGTGCCTGCTTAAAACCCAAGGCATCCCCAGCGCTGAGTCCCAGAGCCTGGCCTGCGAAGCTCTCCTGCCGTGCCTGCCTTGAATTCCAGAACCTAGAAGCTAGCCTCCATGCCTCTGCCCAAGCTGTGCCCTGCCAGCGGCCCCAGTCTCCCCTGTAGCACAGCCTTTGGAGTGGCCACCTGTGCCACCTCCTCCAACGGCTCCTTCTCACTGAGTACTCCTTTCTCAAGGCAGTCCGAGCACCTGGCACGCCCACAATTGAGAAGCCATGCGGTGCTGTCTGTGGAAGGGCAGGGCCGTATTGGATTCCCAGCACCATCCTTAGCACCCGGAAAAGGCCCTGGCATCCACTTAAGTGCCCAGTGAATGTCTGGCCATGGCTGGGGCCTCCCTCATTTCTTGTTCCAGCTGGACATCTCTCTACAACCCCAACTTGGACATCTACCAGCACCACCTGGACTTCTGGAATCTTCCCCAAACTCCCAAGCTCAGAAAATGGCACTAGAATCCACTCAGTTGCTCAAGCCGAAATCCAGAAGCCATGCTGGACACTCTCTGCCCCTCAGCATCGAATCCACCAGCAAGTCTAGTTGATGCCACCTCCCACATAGATCCCAAATACAGTGCCGCACGCCTGCCCTGCTGCGTGCACCATGACCCAGGCCACCATCATCCCACTGCTCGTGCTTCTGCTCTACAAATTATTTGATACCTCTCCTCTTTCAAGAGGTGGAGTTCAATTCTCCTCCCTCTGAGTGTTGGCTGGACTGAGTGACTGGCTTCTAGTGAATAAGTGTGATGGAGGAAGACGTGGGACTTTGGAGACTGGGTCATTAAGGGCACTGTGGGTTCCTCCTGTGTTCTCTCTCAGCTCACTTGTTCGGGGGAAGCCAGTTGCCATGCTGTGAGGACCCTCAAGCAGCACTATGGAAAGGCCCTTTCGGTGAGGAACTGAGGCCTCCTGCCAACAGCCACAAGAATGAGTCCTGGTGGAAGCACATCTGCCAGCCCCAGTCAAGCCTTCGGATGACAGCAGCCACAGTTCACGGCTTGACTGCAGCCTCATGACAGTCCCTGAGCTTGAACCACCCAGCTAAGCTGCTCCCAGATTCCTGACCCTCAGACACTGCAAGAGCACTAACAAATGCTGAAGGCACTGCTTGCCGGGATAATCTGTTACACAGCCACAGAGCTGCTCAGAGCTCAGCAGACTTCCACTTTTCCTTATTTTGTTCCATTCTCTGGGGAGCAAATCAAATATGGCATTCTCCTGTTTAAAAGCCCATCAGAGCTGCCCGTCACATTCAGAATAAAAATAACAACTCCTCTCACAGGGGATTCCAGGCCTGCATAACCTGGTGACTTTTCCCTACTACAGTCCCACTTCCTACTAGTTTCCCCTTCAGTTTGGCCCCACCAGCCTCCCTTCTGTTCCTCAGCCATGCCAAGCTCACTCCCACCTTTGAATCTGCTCTTCCCCCTGCCAGGAGCACCTGGCCTGAACACCTCCCTGTGATCCTTCAGGTCTCACCTTCAATACCTCCCCCATGTGTCCCTCCCTGGCCGCATTGTCTAAAGGGGCCCCTGGGACCCATTCATTTTCTTGAAAACCTCTTTCATTGTGCAAATGACATTATTTTTTATCATACTCTACATGGTACTTTTCGCCATCACCTTTATTAGTGACCAGTTTCTTTGTTTACCAAGGAGGTGTACGTGGTAGGAGGACAGGGGTTTACCGTGAGTTTTGCTCAAGGCTGTAAACTCAGGTGCCTGGCGTTAGAAGGCACAAGGCAGACGGCCACTACATCAAGGGGCATGTCTCCCACTGTCCCTCACTCCCAGTTATACAGCCCCCACCCAGGGAATGCCTCTCCCTGCGCCAATGCTCACCTTCTCGGATCCATGCAAGAAGTCATTGAGGGCCTGTGGGTCACTGGAAGAGAAGAGGAAGAGACGCTGAGGAGGTAAGGAGCTGGGGAGGGGAGGAAGGGGAGGGGGTTCAGACAGAGGGGTGGCGGGGGGGGGAGCCCGTTACTCACCAAATCACGTCTAGTAAGCATCTCCCATCCTCATCATCCATCGCCACTGGATGGGGTGGGGTCAGGAAGAGGGCGAGGGAGACAAGGTTAGATTTTGGCAGCTTGCCTGGCCCCCTCCCTTCAGGGGAGCCCCCTGGAGGGGGTCAGAGTTTCTGTTCCCTTGAGTCCATGGGGATAGATGGGGACAAGGAACACCTCCCAGGTGCCCTCCCAGCCAGAAACACCTGACCAGGGACAGGGTCCTTTTCCTCCCCCAACTCTCCCAGCCCCTGATGATGATATCACCTGAGACTAAGTGAGTCCTGACTGTGCTTCACACACACTGAGCTAATCCTCCGGGTATCGAAGGAGGCGCCCTGCGGCCTGTACTTTGCAGAGGAGAACTGGAGGCACCAGGACGGTCATCCTCCGTCTCCCAGGAAGCAGGTGGCAGAGCCAGGCCTGGAACCTAGGAAGCCTGGCTCCCGAGCCTGCCCTTCACCACCCGGCTGTCCTGTCTCCCTGGACATGGGGCGTGTGGTGAGAGTCTGCCCTACATATAAACGGGTGAAGGAATGAGGGAGCCAGTGTAGGCAACAAGAAGGGCTTTATGGCTCAAGGCTCTGGGTGGTCCTTGAAGACGTCTGTAGTATGTTACCAAAGAAGAGGAGGGTGGTGGGGAAACTGAGGCAGAAGCAAGGGAGAGGGGTCATGAGGATGGCCGCTCTGAGTCAGAGAAGCACTGGGGCGAGGTTGAGCCCATGATCTGAATGATGAGGATGAGGATGGCTAACATCTCTCGAGCGCTCGCTAGGTGCCAGGCACTGTCTGAGCACTTCAGTGATGTTAGCTTGTGCCACCCCCATGGGGAAGGGATGGTTAGTCCCATCTGACACAAGGGGAAGCAGATGCTCTATGTATTTAGCCATCCACCCTCCCATCCATCTAGCCTTTGTCACTTCAAACACCCCTCCAAATATTCCTCCCACCCTCCAAAACAGCCCTCCCTTCCCTGCCTCCATCCATCCATCCTCCTCTTCATCCCTCCAAACATTCAACCAGCCCTCAGAAACATTTAACCAGCCAACCGTCCCTCCAAAGCTTCCTCCTTCCTCCCTCCAGCCATCAGTCTCTTCTGCCCTCCATCCTTCCACCCATCTACCTACCCATCCTCCATCCTTCCATCCTCCTACCCATCCTCCATCCTTCCATCCTCCTACCCATCCTCCATCCTTCCACCCATCTACCTACCCATCCTCCATCCTTCCACCCATCTACCTACCCATCCTCCATCCTTCCACCCATCTACCTACCCATCCTCCATCTGTCCACCCATCTACCTACCCATCCTCCATCCTTCCACCCATCTACCTACCCATCCTCCATCCTTCCACCCATCTACCTACCCATCCTCCATCCTTCCATCCTCCTACCACCCATCCTCCATCCTTCCATCCTCCTACCCATCCTCCATCCTTCCACCCATCTACCTACCCATCCTCCATCCTTCCATCCTCCTACCCATCCTCCATCCTTCCACCCATCTACCTACCCATCCTCCATCCTTCCATCCTCCTACCCATCCTCCATCCTTCCACCCATCTACCTACCCATCCTCCATCCTTCCACCCATCTACCTACCCATCCTCCATCCGTCCACCCATCTACCTACCCATCCTCCATCCTTCCACCCTCCTACCCATCCTCCATCCTTCCACCCATCTACCTACCCATCCTCCATCCTTCCACCCATCTACCTACCCATCCTCCATCCTTCCATCCTCCTACCCATCCTCCATCCTTCCACCCATCTACCTACCCATCCTCCATCCTTCCATCCTCCTACCTATCCTCCATCCTTCCACCCATCTACCTACCCATCCTCCATCCTTCCATCCTCCTACCCATCCTCCATCCTTCCACCCATCTACCTACCCATCCTCCATCCTTCCATCCTCCTACCCATCCTCCATCCTTCCACCCATCTACCTACCCATCCTCCATCCTTCCATCCTCCTACCCATCCTCCATCCTTCCACCCATCTACCTACCCATCCTCCATCCTTCCACCCATCTACCTACCCATCCTCCATCCTTCCACCCATCTACCTACCCATCCTCCATCCTTCCACCCATCTACCTACCCATCCTCCATCCTTCCATCCTCCTACCCATCCTCCATCCTTCCACCCATCTACCTACCCATCCTCCATCCTTCCATCCTCCTACCCATCCTCCATCCTTCCACCCATCTACCTACCCATCCTCCATCCTTCCATCCTCCTACCCATCCTCCATCCTTCCACCCATCTACCTACCCATCCTCCATCCTTCCACCCATCTACCTACCCATCCTCCATCCTTCCACCCATCTACCTACCCATCCTCCATCCTTCCACCCATCTACCTACCCATCCTCCATCCTTCCATCCTCCTACCCATCCTCCATCCTTCCACCCATCTACCTACCCATCCTCCATCCTTCCACCCATCTACCTACCCATCCTCCATCCTTCCACCCATCTACCTACCCATCCTCCATCCTTCCACCCATCTACCTACCCATCCTCCATCCTTCCACCCATCTACCTACCCATCCTCCATCCTTCCACCCATCTACCTACCCATCCTCCATCCTTCCATCCATCTACCACCCATCCTCCATCCTTCCACCCATCTACCTACCCATCCTCCATCCTTCCATCCTCCTACCCATCCTCCATCCTTCCACCCATCTACCTACCCATCGCCCCGTCCTTCTATCCATCTACCTGCTTATACCTCCATCCTTCCAAGCTCTCATCCAACCACCCCTCCTTCCCTTTGCCAAACACCCACACAGACCCATCCTTCCAGTCACTCGTCCCTCCATCTCTTCCTGCACCCTCTGCCCACCTCTCCTCCCAAAGACACACAAAATACACAATGGGAAAGAAGATCCAGCATTGAATGGTGGGAATTTACAGCTCAGAACCATGGAGTGCCCTTACTCTCTTTTTCCCTTGGGGTAGGAGATCCCAAACCTCACTGACAGTGTGACAACTGCCATGGGTCACCATCCCCACCCAAAAACCCCATATATGAAATCTTACATGCACCCTTGACTGGTTCACAACCCCTCACCCTGACAAGTACACTGTCAACTCCCCTAACGGGTGGACTCCTCAGTGACACCCTCAGGTCCCCCATCCCCAACGCTGTTACATAATGAAGAGCCCTGGCCAGGGACCTCCCACATGGGCTGGGGAGGGGGGCGGTATTTGCTGAATCATGCTGTGAAAAATCTGATGACACATGCACATTTCACGCCAAAACATGCATGTGGGTGAAAAATGTGACACATACTTTCCCAGGGTTCACAGATGCCCCTCCCTTCAGCACAGACAGAGACACATGCATCCCTGGAGCCCCACACGCCAATTACTCTCCCTCTCAGGGGCTGGCTGTGGGGACTGTCCCAAAGGAGGCTCCTCTTGCTGCCTTAGGAAGCGGTGAGGATGTGCTCTCGCCTACCCCACATCCCCTGTGGCCCCTCCAGGCTTCCTTTCCTGGTCTTACCACGTCCACGACCAAAGAGCCCCTTCCCTCCCCAACCCGCCCACAGAGGGCACGAAAAGGCATGGTCTGCAAAGAATCTGGAGAAGAGGGAAAAGGGGCAGGGAGGAAGATTTTGCCTGCAGCTAATGCAGAGGCCGGGGGATGGCCCAGGTGACCCAGGGGGCCCGGGTGGGAGAGGAAAGAGCCGGAGATGTTGCTTAGCTAGGCTCTGCCAGGAAGGAATGCTCCTTCCTCATCCAGGGGCCAGGGTGGGGCTGGGGAGGTGGAATGAGACATAGCTGCCCCTCCAAGAACAAACAGGGATGCTTTGCTGGTTACCTGCGCTACAAACGAATCATGAAGGGAAGGAGGGGCGTGTCCACTCCAGGTCTACGCGGGGCCCCCAGCTGGGGACTTGGAGAGAGTCCTCTTGGGGGCCAGCTGTGGAGAAAATGAGAGGCAGGTAGTGAGTCAATAAGTCAGATAAAAGGAAAGAGACGTGATCAAAGACGGACAGAGCTATGGAAGGCAGACGGGAGAGGGATGGACTAAGGAGGGGACGAAAGAAAGACGGGTGGCTGAAACGGCGACGTTGAAGTGAAGTTTAAAAACAGATACAAGTTTAAAATCACACAACACTGCTGGTGCGGTCATTCATGCCTGTAAACCTGACGCTTTGGGAGGCTGAGGCAGGCGGATCATGAGCTATAGAGTTCTACCAGCCTGTCCAACACCATGAAATCCCGTCTCTACTAAAAATACAAAAAATTAGCCAGGCATGGTGGCAGGTGCCTATAATCCCAGCTACTCAGGAGGCTGAGGCAGGAGAATTGCTTGAACCTGGGAGGCGGAGGTTGCAGTGAGCTGAGATCACAACACTGCACACCAGCCTGGGCAACAGAGCAAGACTACGTCTCAAAAAAAAACCCAAAAAGATACAAGTTTAAAATGACACAAAATTACTAGCATGGTGGCACATGCCTGTAAACCCAGTACTTTGGGAGGCTGAGGCAGGAGGATCGCAGGAGTTCAAGACCAGCCTGGCTGGGCAACACAGGGAGATCTTGTTACTACAAAATGAAATTGTTTTTGGCTGGGCACGATTGCTTGCCTACAGTCCCAGTTACTCAGGAGGCTGAGGCAGGAGGATCGCTTGCACCCAGGAGGTCAAGGATGCTGTGAGCTAGGATTGTGCCACTGCGCTCCAGCTTGGGCGACAGTGAGACCCTGTCTCAAAAAAAAAGTACCCAGGAGGTCAAGGATGCTGTGAGCTAGGATTGTGCCACTGCGCTCCAGCCTGGGCGACAGTGAGACCCTGTCTCAAAAAAAAAAAAAAATCAAAATCACACAGAACAACACTATATATACCAGTATCCCATGTGTATATTACATATATGTAGCACACACACTATGGCATGTAACATTACACTAAGTCATGTACTGGCACTCCAGTCTAACAGGATGTAGCCAGTCTTGCTCTCTGCAGTAGAGTCTAGAGAGTCACAGTGGACACGGAGGTGCTTCTCCTGGGGGAAGCTCGAGGCTGGGTTGCTGCCAGGCTCTGGCACGAGGTTTTTCGCCCATCAGTCGATGCAGCACCTTGACATACACGTGTTTCTGTACGAAGACATCTTATTTAATGCATCCTGTTGATTGATTCCCATTGAACTCACGGCCAACAGGATGGTAACTCCACCCGAAGGAAGCTTCTCTAACACAGGTGTTTTCTCCAGCAGGCACACAGCCCTTAGGAACACCAGACTTCTGCACCCTGCTTGGAGCCATTTTATTATTTATTTATTTATTTACTTATTTTATTTTATTTATTTAAATTTTTTTGAGACAGCGCCTCGCTCTGCTGCCCAGGCTGGAGCAGTGGCATGATCTCGGCTCACTGCAACCTCTGCCTTCCGGGTTCAAGCAATTCTCCTGCCTAAGCCTCCCAAGTAGCTGGGATTACAGGCACACACTACCACACCCAGCTAATTTTTGTATTTTTAGTAGAGATGGGCTTTCATCATATTGCCCAGGCTGGTCTCAAACTCCTGACCTCGTGATCCACCCGTCTCAGCCTCTTAAAGTGCTGGGATTACAGACGTGAGCCACCACACCCAGCTCTATGCTTTTATTTTTTGTGAGACAGAGTCTCGCTCTGTCACCCAGAATGATGTGATCTCAGCTCACTGCAACCTCCACCTCCTGGGTTCAAGCAATTCTCTTGCCTCAGCCTTGCGAGTAGCTGCGATTACAGGCATATGTCACCACGCCCAGCTAAGTGGAGACAAGTTTTCACCATATTGGCCAGGCTGGTCTAAAACTCCTGACCAAGTGATTCACCCACCTCAGCCTCCCAAAGTGTTAGGAACAGGTGTGAGCCACTGCCCCTGGCCTAGGGGCCATTTTAAATAGAGAAATCAGCAATAAGAAGCACAAAGACAGCAAGGCGTGGTGGCTCATGCCTGTATCCTGGCACTTTGGGAGGCTGAGGCAGGCAGATCACTGAGGCTGAGGCCAGGAGTTTGAGACCAGCCTGGCCAACGTGGCAAAATCCCATCTCTATTAAAAACAGAAAAAAAGCCCGGCATGGTGACGGGTACCTGTAATTGCAGCTATTGAGACATGAAACTGCTTGAACACAGGAGGCGGAGGCTGCAGCGAGCTGAGATCGCGCCGCCCGCACTGCAGCCTCGGTGACAGAGCGAGACTCCGTCTCAAAAAATAAAAATGAAAAGAGGTCCACAAAGATGTGAAAAACACAGCAGTCAACAGACTGCAAAAAGGACCCTGCTTTGCAATCTGAGCGGAAACGAGGAGTCAGAGCGCCGCTGGGCCCGACTCGGCGGGAACCTGCAGGGCCGGCGTCGTTTCTTTGGCCGCTCTACCCCCTTCTGCAAATGGCCAGCACTGCTTGGAGGCGAAATGTTCGCGAGTCAGTGAATTTGCACATATGGGATCCGTGAAGAACGAGGACGGACTGGAACGGTGATGATAACCCACCCAGACTGCGGGGCCACCCTGTGCTGGGTGCTGGTTTAGGTACCTGGCATGTATAACTCATTCCGCTTTCCCTAAGTCCCAAGAGGCAGGTGCTTCTGTGATCCCTACCCAGTAGATGAGGAAACAGGCTCAGAGAGCTTAGTCATCTGCCTAACATCCTGTAGCTGGTAAGGGGCCCAGCTGCAATTTGTTATTTTATTTTTTGCTCTTGTCGCCCAGGCTGGAGTGCCATGGCACGATCTCAGCTCACTGCAACCGCCACTTCCCAGGTTCAAGTGATCCTCCTGCCTCAGCCTCCCGAGTAGCTGGGATTATAGGCATGGAGGCATGCACTACTACGTCCAGGTAACTTCTGTATTTTTAGCAGACATAGGGTTTCACCACATTGGCCAGGAAGGTCTCGAACTCCTGACCTCAGCTGGTCCGCCTGCCCCAGCCTCTCAAAGTGCTGGGATGACAGGCGTGAGGCACTGTGCTCAGCCCAGGCTGGGATCTGAACCCAGGCAGACTAACTACAGAAGTCCCGCCCTTAACCACTACCCCACAGGCCACCCTCTCCTGCTACTTCTCTCGTAGGCTCTGAAACAAATACAGCAGAAACGTTTAGAGAGTATCGCGGGGCTGCGTGATGGGGCTGTGCGCCTCTGTTATTTTGTGGATGCCTGGAATGCTTCAGATTGGAAAAGGTGATAAAGTGATTGGCATGGAAGAGGGAGGAAGGAACAACAGTGGCAAGTGGCTCTCCCTCTTCCTCTTAGGTCCCGACACCAGATAGATCCAGAAAGCAGATGTCGCAAGAACCTGGAACACAGGATTCTTTTCCTCTGGAATCCGGGTGCCCTTACTTCTGGCCTGGAGGTGTGCACGAGCTCCCAAGATGAAGGATTCACGTCTGTTCATGCCTCCTCCCTGGCTCTGGCAAGTGTGGCCCAAGCTCTGTGCATGTCCTACCTACCAGCAGAATTAGAGACAGGAGGGGGGCAGCTCCGGTGGGCCTTTTGCAAACCAGTCCCAAGGGGGAATTTCCAAGTGGGGGCTGCAGAGCTCTCAGTGAGGATTTTGTGTTCGTGTGCTTTCATTCTAATGACAACATTAAAGACACGAATGGGAACTTCCTGGGGAGAGGGAAATGTGCCGTGTTGTGACTGAGGCATAGTTATACGAGTGTTCAGAGTTTCACAGCTGGGCCAGGCACGATGGCTCACGCCTGTAATCCCAGCACTTTGGGAGGCCGAGGAAGGCGGATCATGAGGTCAGGAGATGGAGACCATCCTGGCCAACACGGAGAAACCCCATCCCTACTAAAAATACAAAAATTAGCATGGCGTAGTGGCATGCACCTGTAATCCCAGCTACTTGGGAAGCTGAGGCAGGATAATCGCTTGAACCCAGAGGCAGAGGTTGCAGTGAACCGAGATCACACCACTGCACTCCAGCCTGGGCGTCAGAGCAAAACTCTGTCTCAAAAAAAAAAACACCTCACCAGAATTTAACAGCTCGGATTTGTATGTTTCAACACAGGAAATTTTATTTCAAAAAACTAAAAAGGAGGGAGGTGTGGGTAGCTCACACCTGTAATCCCAGCCGAGGCAGAGAGGCTGAGGCAGGAGGGTGGCTTAAGCTCAGGAGTTGGAGAACCAGCCTGAGCAACACAGCAAAACCTTATCAAATCAGCCACATGTGGTGGCGGTACCTGGGGTCCAAGCTACTCAGCAGGCTTGAACAGAAATGCTCAGACGCTACTGCAGGGCTGGGTGGCGGCGGCGTGCGCCTCTGTTATTTTGTGGATGCCTGGGATGCCTCGGATTGGGAAAGGTGATAAAGTGACTGGCATGAGAGAGGGAGCATGGCCTGGGCTAGAGAGGCAGAGGCTGCAGTGAGCCAAGATCACTCCACTGCACTCCAGCCTGGGTGACCGAGGGAGAACCTGTCTCTAAAACCAAAATGCCAATTATCAGCATTGGCAGCATCATCCTGGAGGGGTGGTGATGGAAGAAAGAACAGCAGAACGCTGGGAACGGCTGCAGCAGGCGATGGATCGATCCCTGGGGCTTCCTCACACTGTTCTATCTACTTGGCCTATTTTGGAAACTTTCCATAACAAAAAGGTCAGGCACAGTCCTTTATGTCTGTAATCCCAGCACTTTGGGAGGCCGAGGCATTGAAGACCAGCCTGGCCACTTGGTGAAACCCCATCTCTACTAAACACACAAAAATTAACTGGGTGTGTGGTGGCACATTCATGTAATCCCAGGAACTTGGGAGGCTGAGGCACAAGAATCACTTGAATCCAGGAGGCGGAGGTTACAGTGACCTGAGATCATGCCACTGCACTCCAGCCTGGGTGACCAAGCAAGACTCTGTCTCAAAAAATAAAGAGACAGGAAGGTCTGGGGTTCCTCTTAGATGCTCCCCAACTTCAGGTGCCTGGGCTGGCATCTATG